TTTATACAGGGCTTTCCAAGCCTCACATATTAAAAGAGTAAGGAGTAGCTATAAAAGGTGTGAGACTGAAGTTTCCCGAGATGAAAGAATGCTAGGCATTATTATTTCTATACATGTTTCAACAGCACATGAGAAACATACAGGTCAGCTCACATTATTGCAGCATTTCCTGTTCTAAGACACAGCTTAAGGCAAACTCTTAGAATAGTTATGTAGGATGTATGCATTCCACAACTCTTGTCTCATTGAGTCACCGTGTATACTTTCCCGTCCCTCCCTGCCATAAAGCATAATGCATTTTAAAATTGTATTAGTTACGCCATCTATGATTTCCATGTGACCTACTATAAATAATGTTTTCTGTGGCCCCACAACTAAAAGACCACCATAAAACCATGTCAGTGAAGACCTTTTGTGAAGAAAAGAGAAATGGGAGTTCAGATTAATTATACTGTGCTCTAGTGATATCTAAGAGGAAATCTGACTCTGAGCTTTTTTTTTTTTGAAATGGAATCTTGCTCTGTCGCCCAGGCTGGAGTGCAGTGGCACGATCTCGGCTCACTGCAACCTCTGCCTCCTGGGTTCAAGCAATTCTCCTGCCTCAGCCTCCTGAGTAGCTAGGATTATAAGCACAGGCCATTACGCCCAGCTAATTTTTGTATTTTTAGTAGAGACGGGGTTTCACCATGTTGGTCAGGCTGATCTTGAACTCCTGACCTCGTTATCTGCCCTCGTCGGCTTCCCAAAGTGCTGGGATTACAGGTGTAAGCTACAGGGATTACACCTGGCCGACTCTGAGCTTTTTGAATAAAGAACACAGAATGGGAAAGAGCCACAGGTGAGACCTGAGTGGCTCTGAGGTTTGACTTATGAACCTTGAAAAGTGAAGAATTTGATGTTAAAAATTAGGCTTCATCCAGCATCTAACTCACATGTAGAAATGAGTTGCAACTCACTAGACTTCATTCATTCATTCAAAATGAATCATCCTGCTCATCAAGATTGGCTACTTTTCCAAAAGTAACAATAAGAATAGGAATATATATGGCAAAGGTCCAAAGCTTCCATGAGAAAACTAAGGAAAGTTGGGCACAGTTATGGAACGCTTGAGTGTAAGTTATGTCTAAGGTTTCCAACAGATTTGGATGTTTAGGAACACTACAAATGGTGTTGAAACCAGGTTTCCTGATTGAAAGTTAAAGGGACATGGTTTTAAAACTGCCTAAAGAAGAGCTTAGGCCAGGCGCAGTGGCTCATGCCTGTAATCCCAGCACTTGGGAGGCCAAGGCAGGTGGATCAATAGGTCAGGAGTTTGAGACCAGCCTGGCCAAGATGGTGAAACCCTGTCTCTACTAAAAATACAAAAATTAGCCTAGCACGATGGCGGGCACCTGTAATCCCAGCTATTCAGAGGCTGAAGCAGGAGAATCGCTTGAACCCAAAAGGCGAAGTTTGCAGTGAGCCAAGATGGTGCCACTGCACTCTAACCTGGGCAACAGAGCAAGACTGTCTCAAAACCAAACAAGAAAACAAAAAATTTAAAAAACAACAACAAAAGAAGAGCTTGAAGGCAGTATAGTCTAGTGGATTTAGGAGACAGACCTGGGCTTAAATTCCTGCTGTGCCACTACCTAGCCGTGCTACCTTGGGCAAGCTGTTTAATTACCCTAACCTGTTGCTTCATTAGTACAATGAGGATAAAATGCCTACTTTATAAGATTCAGTGAGAATTAAATATGACAATGTTTCTAAATGCTTTGCACAAGGCCTAGCCATATAGAGTCTAATTAAATAGTAAGTATAATCATGGAGCTCTCCAGTGAGGAATTGGACTGCCCTATAAGGTGGGAAGCACCTTGTCTCTAAAAGCATTTAACAAGTTGGTTGGTCATGTAGCAGGATGCTGTGAAATAATTCCTCCTACAAGGGTATCGAGAGAAGTAAGGGGTGGTGATTGGACTGATGAACAAATTCAAACCTAAGATTCTATGATACATTAATGCTTAATTGCTTTATAAATATTGATTCTAAAATAAAATGACCCCCAAAATACACAAAACTAAAATTGCTGGAATACAGGGAAAAATGAACAAATCTACCTTTATAATGGGAGACTGATTGCTTCATCTATTTTATCTACTAATGGATAATAGAAATACTGATGGGGAAATATGAACATGAACATTAGAAAAGATATAGAATATCTAAAATACCAAGCTTGATTTATTTGCAAATATCATGTACCTATCTATTGGTGAATAAACATTCTTCTCTGGTTTTAAAATATATAAAAATTGACCATAGACTAGCCATAGAGCATGATCGGGCTACTGCACTCCAGCCTGAGTGACAGAGAGGAGACCATGTCTCTTAAAAAATAAAAAATAAAAAAATAAAAAAACAGAAAAAAAAGACTTCATAAAGAAAATGAAAAGATCTTGGACTGAATCCTGGATTAGGGAAGAAAAAATATAGCTCTAAAACACCTTAACGGAACAACTGGCAAATTTTCCATAAGGACTGCATGGTAGCTATCTGTACTCTATCAATGTTAAACTACCTAAATTTGGGCCAGGCCCAGTGGCTCATACCTGTAATCCCAGTATTTTGGGAGGTCAAGGCAGGTGGATTGCTTGAGCCCAGCAGGGAGATCACCCTGGGCAACATGGCAAAACCCCATCTCTAACAACAACAACAAAATTCCAGGTGTGGTGGTGTGTGGCCGTAGTCCCAGCTACTGGGGAAGCTGAGGTGGAAGCCTCACTTGAGCCCGGGAGGTGGTTGCAGTGCGCTGAGATCGCACCACTGCACTCCAGCCTGGGTGACAAACAGACAAAAACGATCTCAATTGGAACATTGTTCTGTGAGTATCTAAGAGAGTATCATTGTCTTTGGAGACACATGCTACAACTTATTCCCAAATGATTCAGAAAATAATATATATAATACATATTATATATATATGCATATATATTATATATATGTATATATTAAATAGATATACACTCTCTTACAAATATAGCAAATGGTACCCTATGTGAAGGGTCTACAGGGGTTCATTAATTCTGAAACTTTCTTATAAGACTGATTTTTTTTCAAAAGAAGTCAAAAAAAATTTTGTATTATTTGAAAACACTATAAATAGGGAGACGATATCTGCAACACATACAATTAACAAAAGATTGTTATTAATTACATAGATGTATATACATTATATATACATTTATATATGTACACACACACACCCTTAGAAGGGGAAGAGAAAACATGAATGAATAATCAACATATTTCAAAGTGCTCAACCTTGTCAGTAATTACAGAATGCAAGTTAAGACAAAAACATCTTAACTATTTATTCTGGGTAGACTAGCAAAAAGTAACAAGTGTGAAAATAAGGAGGATGAGAGAGAATTGTGGTCAGTGCTGGTGGCAGTATAGATTGGTACAACCACTTTGAAAACATTTCTGTGTTATCTTTGAAAGCTGAACAGCCCCCATAGCCTCTGGTGTAGTAGTGCTGCTCCTAAATACAAATGAGACTCCAGCGCATGGACAGAAGGTGAATAAGCATGCTCCTACTGGCCTTACTAGTAATTACTCGGGGCAGATTCAGGTTTTGTGGGGTATTAGCTTATATAATTGAAGGAGAGGGAGGCTTGTAAAGAAAAAGATACAGAATTATGAATAAAAATTTAGTTCAGAAGTGAATATTTTTTATTATGGCAAAAGAAATTACAATTACAAATGTCACAAAATCCAGGAAAAGAGTTCCGTTATAGGTTTGTGACCTACAAACTTGAGAAGTCTGATACATTCAGTCTGTGTGGTTCTTATCAATAAAGAAAATACTTAAAGTGCGTTTTTACTCTTATCTGATACAGCACTGAATACATCCCTGACAGGAGAAAACTTCTTTTTGACTAGGCAGTAAAACAATAAATGCTCTGTTACTACACTTAACGACTTCGATGAATCAAAAAAAAAAAAAAAATGTTGAGGGATGAAAAGCAAATTCCAGAAGGCTGTATTTTTATAAAGCTCAAAAAGAAGAAAAACACACCAATACACGGTTAGGAATGTATCCAAATATGATAAAAGCACTTAAAATGGCAAAGAGACAAAACTCAGGATAGTGGCGGTGAGCTAAAAGGCCAGGAGTAGAATCCTGGAGATGCAGCATGGATACAAATACTGATAACGTGGTGGAGTGATAGCTTTATTAGTACACTTTAAATTTTACATATTTGGTAAATATGCTCTTTTGTATGCATCAGTTATTAAATTGGAAATATTTTTAAATAGTTAAAGGACCTGAATGTAAGTCAGTTTCCCTACTTCCTCTCCCGTGCTTTCTCCTCTCCTCCATCACTTTTCAACTACAAGCTGCTTGGGACACATGGCTCCAGAAGCTGGAAAAACAGGGAAATGTCAGCCCGCAAGGACCAAGAACCGCGACTTGTGTTATTTTCTTGTTGGTGTTGAGGCTGGGGGGGCGGGAGGGCAGTGGTGCAGGAAATATTATCTAGCATATCAAATAGGACACATCTAGCTGACTCCGCTTAAATGTTGAGTGGCTCTACTTACTAGCTAAAGGCAGAAAACCGCTTTTGGGCCCAACGGGCAGTGCCCCTCCCTTTTACGCGCACACTTTCCACTTTCTAAAGGTGCCAGGCCGCCGCACCACCCTCCAGCTTCTTTCCGGCTGCTCCGACTCTTTTCCACCAGTCCCAGCCCACTCGATTACGTAAATTCTTCCAAGACGATCCACAAACATGCCCCTCCGTCCAGAACCCGTCCATCTCCGACCGGTTCCGAGATTTGCCACCAGCCCAGAGCTGGGCGAGGGCGTGGAAGATTGGCAGAGCTTCTCGGCCCCGCCCCTCCTCCCTCCCTCCCAATCCACTGACTGCTCCCAAAGAGCTCCGCCTCTACGGGCGCCCCGCCTCCCCACCGCCCGGAAGACGTGCTGCGGCCCTCTCCCAAAACCCGGAGAAGTGGATCAGGCGCTCAGCTCCGTACCAGCCGTCCAGGGCCGCAGTCCGAACAAGCAGGTCGGGGCTTGTCTACCGGAAACCTGGGCTGGAGCCTGGAAGAGGGAGCTGGCCCCGAGCGGGAGCGGACGCGGCCTCAGGCCTGCGCGGGTGAGCGTGCCCCGGAGCTCGGGCCCCTGGCTGTCCTGCAGCCCCTCCCCCGGGCCCCGGGGCGCTAGGCCGCGGCGGCTTGACGGATGCCCCTGCGCGGCCCCCCTCCCATCCTTGCAGTTCTCCTAGTCAACGGGCCTCTACCCGGAACCCGGCGCCCCGCCCGTCTCCTAGCAGCTCTGTGACTTGCAGGCGCCTCGGGGTGCGGTGCCGCCGGGCGTGGGTGGAAGGCAACGCCCAAGGGGAGGGTCCGCCGTTGTGCGGGGGTGCGGGGGGCGTTGGCGACAATTGGAGGCCGCGCCGCCGCCCGCCCAGCAGGAGCCCGTTCCCTTTCGCCATTGGCAGACTTTGAGTTCCAAGCTCTTTCCAGCTCACACAGAGCCATCCCTGTCCCGCCCGCCACCCTGTACATTTTCTGAGACAGGATAGTCTAGACCCTCGGTTGCATTTCTGTGGGAATTTTTCTGGAAATTGGAATCTGGCAATTTAAAGAAATAATTTTTTTAAGAAAAATATGTATTAGTATATTTGATAGTCCCCAGATTAGGTTAAAAGTCTTCCCAATCACTGTAATTTTGCAAAGACATGTTTTAGTGTAAATAGGTGTTGATGGAAAGAGTCAAACTCTAAAAATATTTGAAGAGATTTATTTGATTCAAATACAAGTGACCATGGCCTCAGGATGTCCTGAGAACATGTGCCCAAGGCGGTTGGGGTACAACTTGGTTTATATATTTTAGGAAGGCATGAGACATCAGTCAAATACATTTAAGAAATACATTGGTTATTTTAGTATTACTGATATTAAGGGAAAAAAAGAAAAAAAATACATTAGTACGGTTTAGAAGGGCAGGACAACTCAGCCCAGGGCTTCCAGGCTATGGGTAAATGTAAACATTATCTGGTTGACAATTGGTTGAGGTTATCTGAAGATCTGGAATCTATAAAAAGGAATGTTCAGGTTAAAGATAAAGGATTGTGGAAACCAAGTTTTACTGTGCAGAGGAAGCTCTTAGATAGCAGACTTTAGAGAGAGCAGGTTGTAAATTGTTTTATATTGGACTTTAAAGGGTGCCTGGCTCTTAGTTGGTTAACTCCTGGATCTGGGAAGGAAGGAAGGAAGACAAAGGGGGAAGGGAATTCTCTATAAAATATGGATTTTTTTCCCCCCCGCAAGAGACTTTGCAGGGCAGTTTTAAGGTATGACAAGGACATATATTTTGGGGTAAAACATTTTGATTTTCTTCCTCGTCATGTCAGAGTGAGATTGGAAAGTAAGTCAAAATGTACAGGGTTAAATATACCCAGCTAATGAGAATGTATGGTTTGTAAGACCTGACTCTCCAGACCCCTTAGACAGGAATTTGGGAAAGATTAAAAAATTAGAGCTTAGTCCTCAAATGGTTGAGAGCTTATGCTCTGGAGCCAGAGTGCCAGGGCTGTAACATTTAAGAATTATTTGAGCTTGGACAAACCACTTAATTTCTAGGTGGCTCAGTTTCTTCTGAGGGTATATAATGTGTGTTATACAGACACACACACACGTTTTTTCATTGTTATGTATATTACTATATTGTTTTTTCATTATGCTATACTGTGTATATTAGTCTGTAATACACATAGTATGGCATAACGATAAAATATCTGTGCATATATATTAGGTAATGCTAACCAATTGACATGGTGGTTGTAAAGATTAGATGAACTGTTGTGCTTGGCACATAATAAACACTAAGTGTTACTTACATGAGAATAACATTTTCTCTATGATTTGTGGTTTTGATTTTAAAGATTCTAATTGTGAAGTATCCCTCCTGTTTTCTTTCCTTTTTTTTTTATTGTACTTTAGGTTCTGGGGTTCCTGTTTTCTTTTTTGATGCTATAATAGGATTTACCCCAGAATTTCTATAATATCTGATACCTCAAAGTGCAAATATTGAGTAAACAGAAATAGACCATGTATACAAGGATATGTTGAGCAGTGTGCAGTGTTTCAACACTGCCATGTGTGAGGAAGAAGACTACATCTTGTCATCAGTGGAATCTGGTGAATGTAAGAAAAGCTTGATATACAGAATGTCATAATGTCCTCACTATTCATTTCAGGCATAGCTAGCCCCAGGACACTAGGCTGATTCTATGACAATCACAAGGTACTTTATTTTTATTTTTATATTTTTCATTTTTTGAGACAGAATCCCAGGCTGGAGTGCAGGGGCATGATCTCGGCTCACTGCAACCTCTGCCTCCCTGGTTCAGGTGATTTTCCTGCCTCAGCCTCCTGAGTAGCTGGGATTACAAGTGGGTGCCTCCACGTACAGCTAATTTTTGAATATTTAGTAGAGATGGGGTTTCAGCATGTTGGCCAGGCTGGTCTCAAACTCCTGACCTCAAGTGATCTGCTGCCCGTCTTGGCCTCCCAAAGTGTTGGGGTTACAGGTGTGAGCCACCGTGACTGGCTGTTAATCATATGATACTTTATATGTGAACTTTATTCATGGTAAAATAAATCTCGTTGTATAGTTTCCCTAACAGAATATTGAAGAATGTTTGTTCCAAGATCTCTAAAAATCAAGAGGAATGCTAATGATGATGGCAAAAGTTGTGTGGCTAAGAGAATTAAACCAGACGCAGAAGACCTTCAGCTGGACAAAAGCAGAGATGTTCCCACTGATGCTTTAGTTACAGAGGCAGCCACAATACCAGACAGGCACAGCAGTGAATCCTGCCTTCTCCCCAGCCCAGGTGGCCAGCTGGCAGAGGTTCATTCTGTAGATCCTGAGCAGGGTGTGAAGGACAGCCATCCTTCTGAAGAGCCGGTTAAGTCATTTTCCAAAACACAGCGCTGGCCAGAAGCGGGGGAACCCGTCTGTGTTGTCTGTGGTCGTTACGGAGAGTATATCTGTGACAAGACAGATGAAGATGTGTGTAGCTTGGAGTGTAAAGCAAAACATCTTCTGCAAGTTAAGGAAAAGGAAGAGAAATCAAAACTCAGCAATCCACAGAAGGCTGATTCTGAGCCAGAGTCTCCACTGAATGCTTCCTATGTGTATAAAGAGCACCCCTTTATTTTGAACCTTCAAGAAGACCAGATCGAAAATCTTAAACAGCAGCTGGGAATTTTAGTTCAAGGGCAAGAAGTCACTAGGCCCATTATTGACTTTGAACATTGTGGTTTCCCTGAGGTCTTAAATCACAACTTGAAGAAATCAGGCTATGAGGTGCCCACCCCCATCCAAATGCAGATGATTCCTGTGGGACTTCTGGGAAGAGACATTCTGGCCAGTGCAGATACTGGCTCAGGAAAAACAGCTGCTTTTCTTCTTCCTGTTATCATGCGAGCTTTATTCGAGGTAAGTATTAGTGACAGAGTTCACGGGTATTATTCTTGGAAACAAATGAGGGGTTTACCAAGTTTCATTCTTAACTATATTAAAATTGCAGGCTAAAACTACATATTTGGAACTGTAGTCACTAGTGCCTTTAGTGATTTTGCTTCTGATAGTAGTTTGTATGAAAACATAATTTCAGGGAATTTTTCTTGTGTTATGTTGAACCAGAGATCTCATTATGGAGGATCTAAAAACTTGCTTTCTTCCCAAACATTTTCCTTTTAATAGTTTTTCTATTAAATGAATGAACTTTGGATTTGAGGGGAAAAAAATCCAGCTGACCAGACGAGCTGCCATTTGTGTGTCAGTTTAGCCTCCTTGGATTTTGTGTTTTGAAGAAATTGATTTATACTGAGGTTGAAGCACGCCGTAGGGTTTCAACATAGACTCTTAACTGTGATCTATGGTTCATCTTAAAATAATCACTACCATACCTTACTTGTTAGTTTAGTGTATAAAGCACTTTCACATATAATTAGTTTAACAAACATGTTGAGTAATTACTATTTGCCAGGGACTGGTGAGCTTCTGAAGTATGAAGTGTGGCAGGAAGGGAAGTGAGTGAAAAATGTGAGCAAAGAGAGGAAAGATAAAGGAGAAAAATTTGGAAAACTAAAGAGTAGTAGAAGATAATGTGAGGGGAAAAGAAAGCACTAGATTGTTTAAAATACAGGTCACACATGCTCAAGACCAAAATAGAGCCATAAAGCCCGAAATAGGATGTGGGTATATATGTAAGTTCTATGGACAAAGAAAGAAGTGAATCTGCGAGAGAGCCAAGTGGGAAAACCAAGGGTAGCATGCCAGCTTGGACCAGATCCACATGGTGACTGCTGGGTTCTCTGTTTAGAGGAGGATGACTGCAGATTACAGGGTCCAGTTAACTAGGAGCAAAGCTTCAGTTTTCTTACCTTGCTTACTGTGGATGCCTCTCCCCAGCTCCAATTTTGATCTTTCATTATATTCTGTGTTATGTAAGAAATGGGTTTAATTTATGATGGTTTTAGAGGAAAAAAATCTGCAGTAAGCAGAAGGCAGGAGGACTCATATCCAGTTGGGAATGCTTTAAAAGGGCCATGTTCCTGAAATCCTTGTGAAGATTTAGTTCATATTGGCAGGAATTAATTGCTGGTATTTTTAAAGTTGTTTTTCACATCTTTGCAGAGGAAAACTCCATCTGCACTCATTCTTACACCAACCAGAGAGTTAGCCATTCAGATAGAGAGACAAGCTAAAGAATTGATGAGTGGCCTGCCACGCATGAAAACGGTGCTTCTTGTAGGGGGCTTACCCTTACCGCCACAGCTTTACCGTCTGCAGCAACATGTTAAGGTAAGCACTGATTTGATACAATGTCTTTGAAAAGTTTTGTAAGCAGTACTGGAACTAGTGGGTTTTTTCCCTCTTGAAGAACCTTTAAAAGATTTTAGAGAGTCTTTAAATTCTTACTAAATAAGCCTTAGGTTTTTTTTTTAAGTTTGTTTTATTTAGGAAAGGAAAGAAACACAATTTATTGAGTGCCTGTTATATGCCAAAGGCTGTTGAATGTTCTCACACACATTATCTCATTCAAGCATCACATTTACTTCTGAAGGTGGGTTGACATATCCCTAGCCCATGTTTTATAGTCGAGAAGTTGAATCTCAGAAAGATGGGGTTTATTGAGGGATCTATAGCCAATAAATAGTAGTTGCCAAAATTGAAACCTTAATTTACCCGACTTTACTCCTTCCTTAGCCATGCTGTTAGGCATAGTCTGTATTTTATGACATGTAAAAGTATGTAAAAGCAATGTGGTCTTATTCTAGCTTTGGAACTTGGTAGCTGTATGGCCATAGAGAAACTTGCTTCACTTCTGGGGCCTTCAGTTTTCTTGAGTTTGAATGGGTGGCTGAAGATACCTGCCTTTGAAATAAAAATGTTTAATGGAAGATTTGGCACAGATGTTGACCAATCAAAGTAGACTGCAGCTTTAGTGCAGGAGCTGGGCCTCGAGGCCCTTTGGTCTTCTGAGCATTAACTATTTAGTTAACTGGGGTGGCAGGGAGGCTCTGGAGACCCAGGGGAGGAGCTGGATTGGCAGGGAGTTGGGAGAGGGGACTCAGGGAAAGGGCACTCTGGGCAGCAGTACCAGCTGGGATGAAGCTCCTGCTGCAGTATTTGACAGCTTCTATGGGTGAATATCAGCCTTTCATGTTGGAATCTTTTGAAGGTCAAATCAGATGTATCTGACAGATTTATTTATTTGTTTATATGAAACATCCAGGTAGGATCCGACAGATTTAAAGCCTGTAAAATGTTTTAAGACATTACGGGTTGATAATTAATGGGTTATTGGATCAATGATTTTTAAAGGTGGACCTCCAGTATATAAAACAGATAAAGATGATATTACTGCCAAATTAGAACTTCAGCAATATGTATTTATGAAGTAAATAATACAAGTATTTTTGATGGTCATCAAATTTGAAGTTGGGTTAATGGAGTTTGACTACAGTCTCATATCAACCTCTGCATTAAATTTATTTTTGTTGCAAACAATGGTTAACATTATAATTTAAGTGGATAAGTAGATGCAAACTTCTAACAGCTTTTAAACTAAGCTTGCATTCTGATTCTTAAAAAATATGTTAATATGTCGGTGTTAGTTTCCAGCTTGCAACATTTAGTAGGAACACATATGATTGGGCGCAGTGTTTTCACACATTTTTTGTGGGGGGCGGGGGGGTCCAAGTTTTGCTCTTGTTGCCCAGGCTGGAGTGCAAACGGCACAACCTCAGCACACTGCAACCACCACCTCCCAGGTTCAAGTGATTCTTCTGCCTCAGCCTCCTGAGTAGCTGGGACTACAGTCATGTGCCACCACACCCAGCTAATTTTTGTGTTTTTAGTAGAGGTGGGATTTCATCATTTTGGCCAGGACGGTCTTGATCTCCTGACCTCGTGATCCGCCTGCCTCGGCCTCCCAAAGTGCTGGGATTACAGGTGTGAGCCACCAGGCCCGGCCCTAATCTTGGCACTTGGAAGGTTTACAGGCCATTTACTTTGAAGCACATCCCTGAATTGATTAGATTCAAGTTGCATGTCTTTGACAGGGATATCACAGAAGAGATGCTTTGTGTTTTTCATTGCATCCTTTTAGGTTGCACGGTTATCAGTATGTCCTTTTCTTGGTCATACGATCTGTAAAGTAATTGTAAAGTTTATTTTTTTTCCCCCTTTGTGTTTAGTAAGTATTTTGTGCTGAGTACTTTGAGATGTACTTTGAAATGTAAATTTCTCAGTCTTCACACTTTAAATTTCTTTATATATGTATTTACATCTGTATGGACTCACAGCTTCCTGTTATTCAGAGGTTTCAATCTGCTATTATCATTATTTGTTTTGATATTCCAGTTGATCTCCATCTGGCCAGTGGAAGCATTTTCCAGTTGGTTTCTTTTTATTTATTTATTTATTTTAAGACGGGGTTTCACCATGTTGGTCAGGCTGGTCTTGCACTCCAGACCTCAGGTGATCTGCCCACCTTGGCCTCCAAAGTGCTTGGATTACAGGTGTGAGCCACCATGCCTGGCTCCAGTTGGTTTCTGTGTTCTTTGTTCGTATCTCCATCATTGAGTCTTCCTTCCTTTCCATGAAAAGAAGATGTTCCATGCTTACATTTTTCTTTCCCTGCCCCAGCCCTGGAATCATGCCTTCTCCAAGGAGCCCTGGTTTCTTTTAATAGAGGATAGTATTTAAAAAGAAAGACCTGGGCTGTGCATGTTTATTGCTGCTGGACTATCACTGCTTAGGACCTCCCGGTGGATAGAGGTAGGGAATACAGTCATCCCGCGGCGTCTGTCAGGGACTGGTTCCAGGATCACCTGCGTATGTACCAAAATCTTTGCATACTTGAATCCTGCAGTTGGCCTTGCTGAACCCGAGTATTTTTGGTCTGTATTTGGTTGAAATTTATATGTATCAGTGGACTCACACCATTGAAATCCATGTTGTTCAAGGGTCAGCTGTATATCTAAGTGTGTGTTTTTCTGTGTCTATATTTGTTAGAAACCATGAGACCATGAGTTCATGTTGATACTTCCAATTCCAATTCAATACAACAGGATTCATTCATATTTGTAACTGACAGAAACCTGCCACTCATTTTCCTTTAGGTATTTATTTATTTGACCAATCCTCCTCTATGTAGCTCACCTCTCACCATCAGCACCGCCCCTCCCACAGCGTTGCCTTCCTCACCAGACTCCACCTGCACTCTCAGCCCCTCAGGCTGCAGCACCCAATGCAGGGTTGCCTTTTTGTGGAGGCTCCTCCTTGCCCCACCTGACCCTCCCACCCCTCTCACCAGCCTGAGCTCATCTCATATGCCCTCTGAGAAAAAAGAATGAACGAAAACCTCTGTCTCTTCAGCACAGCTGCCTTTCAAGAGCAAGGGCAAAGTGAAAAGCTTTTCAAATAAAACTGAGAAAGTTATTGCCAACATACATATAAGAGAACTTTAAAACTATGATAGTCTACAGATAAAGATCATGCCAGGAAGGAAGGTGTGGGATGGAAGAAATAATGGTGGGAAAGGAAAACAGTGAGCATGTGTGTAAATCTCAGGATCTAACATTGAATGAAACAGTAATCATTATGAACAACCTGTGGGTTTAAAAATAAAATAGGCCAGGCAGAAGTGGCTCACCCTGTAACTCCAGCACTTTGGGAGTCTGAGGTGGGTGGATCACCTGAGGTTGGGAGTTCGAGACCAGCCTGACCACCGTGGAGAAACTCCATATCTACTAAAAATACAAAATTAGTCAGGCGTGGTGGCACATGCTTTTAATCCCAGCTACTCAGGAGGCTGAGGCAGGAGATTCAGCCTGAATCCGTGGGTGGAAGTTACAGTGAGATCGAGACATTGCACTCCAGCCTGGGCAACAAGAGTGAAACTCTGTCTCAAAAATAAATAGGCCAGGCTCACACCTGTAATCCCAGCGCTTTGGGAGGCCAAGGTGGGCAGATCACGAGGTCAAGAGATCAAGACCATCCTGGCCAACATGGTAAAACCCCATCTCTACTAAAAATATGAAAATTAGCTGGGTATGGTGGCACATGCCTGTAGTCCCAGCTACTTGGGAGGCGAGACAAGAGAATCACTTGAACCCAGGAGTCAGAGGTTGTAGTTAGCTGAGACTGTGCCACTGCACTCCAGCCTGGCAACAGAGTGAGACTTCATCTCAAAAAGAAAGAAAGGGCTGTGGCGGGGGGGAGGTGAAGAAAGAGAGAGAGAGAGAAAGAAAGAAGTAAGTTAAATACTGGCCAACAGTAGCATAGAAGTACAGGGGAGATGTGATTGGTATTAAAGCATTTTTTCCTTATTGTTTAAAAAAAGGTAAAAATGAGCTGAGTGTAGTGGCTAATGCCTGTAATCTTTGGGAGGCCAAGGCATGAGGATTGCTTGAACCCAGGAGTTTGAGACTAGTCTGGGCAATATAGAGACCTTGTCTCTATGAAAAACAAATCAAAAAATTGTCTGGGTGCGGTAGCTCATGCCTGTAATCCCAGCACTTTAGGAGGCGGGCGGATCATGAGGTCAGGCCTGGCCAACATAGTGAAACCCTGTCTCTACTAAAAATACTAAATTAGCCAAGCGTAGTGGTGCATGCCTGTAATTCCAGCTACTTGGGAGGCTGAGACAGGAGAATCACTTGAACCCTGGGGGTGGAGGTTGTGGTGAGCCCAGGTGGCACCATTTGCATTCCAGCCTGGGTGACAGAGCAAGACTCTATTTCAAAAAAATTAGCCAGGTGTGGTGGCATGCACCTGTAGTCCCAGTTATTTGGGAGGCTGAGGCAGGAGGACCCCTTGAGCCTGGGAAGTTAAGGCTGCAGTGAACCATGATTGCACCACTGCACTCCCTTATGATGATAGAGCAAGATTGTATCAAAAAAAAAAAAAAAAGCCCTCATTATTAGCCACTAATATATTATAAAGTTGTTAAGGAGCCTTAAGCAACCTTAGAAATTACTTTGCCCAACCTCTTAATTTAAAAATGAAATAAAAAGCCCAAAGATGGTACAGAATTTTCACTCGTTTACAGAACCATGCAGTCAAACTGCCTATAAGGCCCTTCCTGGTCCCTGCCTTGTTTCAAGCCTCAGCCTGTCCCATTCTCCCCACCCCTTTACCATTTCGAGCCTCAGGACTGTCGTTGATGCTTTTCTCTCTCCTTAATCACTCCTCACCTTGCTCACACCCACGAATCCTTTAGGTTTGACCTGTGTGTTGGGCAGGACTGGATGGACACGCCCCTCCATTCATGACAGAGTATTTATCTCATGAGCACTTCCTTGTTTTATGTTTCGTCCTTTATATTACAAGTGTCATGAGAGCAGGGACTATGTCCGGCATAGTCATCACTGAATTCTGAGTGCTTAACATGGCACCTGGCACATATTAGTTGCTCAATCAATATGGAATGAATGATTTTTAAAATTTGCTTTTTCTCTTCTATTCAGGTTATCATAGCAACCCCTGGGCGACTTCTGGACATAATGAAGCAGAGCTCTGTAGAACTCTGTGGTATAAAGATTGTGGTAGTGGATGAAGTAAGTAGTGGTGTCTAAAAAACGGTTACATGATTTTATTTGATTTATAATAAAATTATGATAGTTACATAATTTCATTGTATATTCAGGACATTTTCTCTCTAAAAACAACACCTCAGGGACTTTAAAAAATTTGCAGCAGTGGTTCTTCAGCTGGTTCCTGTGTAGCGCTGAAGCTAATGTAAGGTGCACTACACTAAAATTAAACCAGAGCCGTCTTCTCCTAACTGACAGAATACACAAATTCAATAGGTACTCTATTCTCAATGGCAAGTTTTTTGTTTTGTTTTTTTAAATGTGATGTTTTCTATCATTTGTTTGCAAAAATAGTCAGTGGCAAGTAATAAGACAGGGTCTTGCTCCGTCACTCAGGTCACCCAAGCTGGAATGCAGTGATGGAAACAGTTCACTGCAGCCTCAACCTCCCACACTCAAGTGATCCTCCCATCTCAGCCTCCTGAGTAGGTGGAACTACAGGCACACACATCACCATGCCTGGCTAATTTGTTTTTTGTAGAGATGGAGTCCCACTATGTTGTCCAGGCTGATTAGTCTTGAACTCCTGGGCTCAAGGGATCCTCTCGCCTTGGCCTCCCAAAGTACTGGGATTAGAGGCATGAGCCACCATGCCCAATGGATGGCCTTTAAAACTTTTTTTTTTCCTGTGTGGACATAAGCATCTGTGGTTCTGACTTTCTATGTTACATATACTATAGAGGTATTTTTATACTTTTGGCCTGCCTATCAAGATGAAGTTAAAGTGTTCTTGCTTGGTGATATTCCACCATGGGGACACAGAACCATGTGCCAGCCCACCCTAGGCATGTGCCATTTCTGCCTGCGGGGTGCACGCATCTTCCCACATGTCTCACCAGCAGTGACAGAGCAGAGGCCTGACATTACCCAGCAGTGATCACAAATGCAGGGTGCTAGGTGCTGACCAGTGATAGTATCTCAGCCTGCCTTCCGTTGGCCAGTGATCACAAATGCGGGGTGCTAGGTGCTGACCAGTGATAGTGTCTCAGCCTGTCTTCCGTTGGCCCCATTAAGTAGCAGTAGGATAGAACACGTAGCCAATACCCACAAGACCAAGATTTTAACATTTACTCCACCTCCCATGAGATCTTAGGCAAGCTGGTGAATCTTCTAGAGCTATGGTAAAGATGAAGAATGGTGGTAAAAATGTCTTTTTTTTCTTTTGAGACAGTGTCCAGCTCTGTTGCCCAGGCTGGAGTCCAGTGGTGCGATCTAGACTCACTGCAGCCTCCACCTCCTGGGTTCAAGTGATTCTCCTGCCTCAGCCTCCTGAGTAGCTGGGATTACAGGCTCCTACCACCATGCCCGGCTAATTTCTTTTTGTATTTTTAGTAGAGATAGGGTTTTACCAGGTCTCAAACTCCTGACCTCAGGTGATCCACCCTTCTTGGCCTCCCAAAGTTCTAGGCGTGAGCCACCACATCCAGCCAAAAACGTCTTACAGAATGAAGAGTCCTGCTAATACAGCATTTTTCTAGCATGGCCATTTGGTAGAACTGACTTATTGCATCTGATTATCATTAGACATACTGTCACCCTGAACATGACTAGGCTTCTCTTTGTTGATAAGCCCCATGTTCTTAAGTTCTCCCCATCTTGTGAGCCAGAGAAGAAATTTTTTTTAGAGAGTTTTTCTGTTACCCCTGCTGGAGTGCAATGGCATGATCTCAGCTCACTGCAATCTCCACCTCCTAGACTCAAGCCATTCTTGTGCTTCAGCCTCCTGAGTAGCTGGGATTACAGGCATGCACCACCATGCCTGGCTAATTTTTTTTTTTTTTGAGACAGAGTTTTGCTCTTGTTAACCAGGATGGAGTGCAATGGCACGATCTCGGCTCACAGCAACCTCCGCCTCCTGGGTTCAGGCAATTCTCCTGCCTCAGCCTCCTGAGTAGCTGGGATTACAGGCACGCACCACCATGCCCAGCTAATTTTTTTGTATTTTTAGTAGAGATGGGGTTTCACCATGTTGGCCAGGCTAGTCTGAAACTCCTGGCCTCAAGTGATCTGCTCACCTCAGCCTCCCAAAGTGGTAGGATTACAGGCGTGAGCCACTGCATCTGGCCTGAGAAGTAATTCTTATGTGGATTATCAGGTTAGGTTCCATTCATCCTCACGTCTCTGTTTGTTTGTTTGTTTATTTATTTTGAGACAGGGTCTTGCCATGTTGCCCAGCCTGGTCTTGAATTCCTGGGCTCAAGTGATCCTCCTGCCTTGGCCTCCAAAGTGCTGGGATTATAGGTGTGAGCCACTGCACCTGGCCTGATCCTCACTTCTCTTTTCAGCATTTTCATTTTCTTCTGCTAACAGGGCTTCACGAGGCACTTTAGTGCTATGCTCACCATTATGGGACAAGGGAAGTGTTCATTCAGCAAACATTTATCAAGCGCCTGTAGAACTGACTCAATGCATCTGATTATCATTTGACATACTGTTACCCTGAGCGTGACTAGGCTTCCGTTTGTTGATAAGCCCCGTGTTCTTAAGTTCTTAAGTTCTCCCCATCTTATGCAGCCTCTGTCCCAGCTCATTGGCATTTAAGGAATATGGTTTCTGTGTGATCTAGAGGGGAAATGAGCGGGTAAACCACATAATTAGTTATATACTGAAACTGCAGTCAGTACAGAAGCTTTATTTAGGTAAGAATTGATCAGTTCTGGATAAGTTTGGATGGGATCACAGAGCAGTTTTGAATACCATTCAACCCTACAAGGTGCTGAAATCTTGTTGGAGAGAAAAGACACATATACCGAAGTAAAGGCAAGAACACTATCATGTGTACGGAGATACAAAAGTACTGACATGATGTAGGCCAGGGAATGGCAAATATTTTCTGTAAAGGACAAGATGGTAAATATCTGAGGCTTTGGGGGCTGTATAGTCTCTGTTGGAACTACTCAGTACAAGTGTAGATGCTATGAAAATGAATGGGTGTGATGGGGTTCCCATAAAATACTATTTTTAAAAACAGGTAAAGGTCTAAATTTGTCCCCAGAGCTGTAGTTTGCCAATGGCTCATGGAAGATACTAGTGAAAAAATGAGACTGTGTGGCTGGGCACGGTGGCTCGCGCCTGTAATCCTGGCACTTTGGGAGGCCGAGGCAGGGGGATCACCTGAGACTGGGAGTTTGAGACCAGCCCAACCAACATGGAGAAACCCCGTCTCTACTAAAAAATACAAAATTAGCCGGGCATGGTGGTGCATGCCTATAATCCCAGCTACTTGGGAGGCTGAGGCAGGAGAATCACTTGAACCCAGGAGGTGGAGGCTGCAGTGAGCTGAGATTGTGCCATTTGTGCTCCAGCCTCGGCAACAAGAGCAAAATTCCATCTCAAAAATAAATAAATTGGACTGTGTATGATATGCTAATTGTTCAGGAGAAATAAGGTCAAAAGGAGAAATGAGAGTAAATGTATTGGCACTGCAAAAAAATGGCTTCTTGGAGGTAATGGGATTTGACCTGGGCCTCAAAAGATGGAAGAAGGTTTAGAAAATAAGAGGATGTATCAGATACTCCTATTCCAAGTGAAGGGACTGACATAAGCAGAGTCAGAAAGTCCAGGTGCATGTGTACAGGGGCCAGGGAAGAGACCACCAGCTTGAAGAATTCTTCTGAGAAATAATAGGAAGTAAAATGGAGTTGCTAGGGTGGGGCCAAATTATAGAGGGCCTTGCAGGAAGGCAGAGGAATCTGGATTTGATGTGGGAGACAGTGAGGCTTTCTAAATTGCCGAGTAGTGGTTTAGGAGATTACCATGCTGCTCAGAACAGGAGAAATGAAAGAATCTGAGACAGAAGAGCCAGCAATCCAGACAGGGGTGACAGCTCCCAGGGTGGAGGCAGTAGGAGTCACAGGCCAAATCTGAGGGTCACAATAGAGGAATCACTCATGAGTCTTCTGATGCCTGAGGACGAGAGAGGAAGAGGAAGGCAACAGAGGTCACTCCATCAATTACAGTTGTGCCTTTAACAGGACAAGTGGGCAAATCTGATCTTGGTAATAATGATTGAGTTTGGCTTTAGACATGGTGAATTTCCTGCGAATGATGAACTAAGGGGTAGTATTTTGAAGATCTCAAATACTCTGGCTCAGGAGGCTGCCGAGGAAATTTAAAAAATAAAAGAGGCATTCGAATCTATGAAACGTATGGTTTCTCTAAGGGAGGAAAGTTAGAAGTGAGCAGAAACAGAGGCAGGGACTGGGGCTAGGGGCCTGGCTTGTGGAGTTTGAAGATGAGTCAGTAAAAAAGCCACTTGAGACACCAGAGAGGAACTGAGAATGGATAATATCCTTGAAGAAGAGAGAAGCAGTGTTTCAAGAGGAGGCTGAAGATCCAAAAATAATCAGAGATGAAAACTCAGATAATTCCTTTGAAATTATCTGCTCTGTGACCCTCTGTGAGTCCTGTCAAACCTGTCCTTTGGCCTGGAATTCTCTCCCATCCTTTCTCCCTGCTCTTCCTTCTTTATCTGTAACTCTGAAATCCCTCACTCCCCGTCAGATTTTAGGCCTTTTTCTTCTCTCTGCTCTGTTGAACTGTGCATAGATTTTTAAAATTTTCTCTTAGCGCAATGTTTGCTCAAGTTTCCTTAATGATAAGAGTCACCTGACTTGCTCACTGAACATAAGACAAGACCAGACCTCTCACTTGGATATTCTGATTCAGTAGTTCTGAGTTGGAGCCAGGAATCGTTAAAAACTCATTCCAGGTGATCCTTGTTTCCCCCGCGAGGTGATTCTTATCTTCAGAGTGGTTTGGGAATCACTGACTAGTTAAGTTGCCTGACATATAGGTAGGTGCTTATTCAGTGCCTAGAATTAGTAAGTGTCAGTTTATTTACAGAATACATTGTTAGGGGTTTTCATGTGCTGACACTTCTTGGTTTTGAGAATAATGGAAAATGAGACACATGAGCTGTCTCGTGGAGCTGTGATAAATGGACTTACACAAGGCAATATGGCAGTGGCAACCCCTGGGGTTACCTTAGATTGGTAGTCAGGGAGAGCGCTCTGAGATGGTGACATTTATGCTAAGACCGGAATGAGAGGAGCCAGTCATGCAGAGATCCATCTGGAGGGAAGACTCTTAGCCAGGTGCCAACAGGGGAGCAATTGGGAGGTATTTGGGAATAGAAAGATGGCTGGTGTGTCAGAGTCACAGGCAGTGAGGGGAGAGTGCTAGGAGATGAGGTCAGAGAAGTGGACAAAGATGAGAACTTGTAAGACTTTTTGGCCATGGTTAGAAGTTGGATTTTATTCTAAGTGTGATGGAAAACCATTGGAGGGTTTAAGCAGAAGAGGTGATTTATATTTTAGAAGAATGTGTCTGGAATTTATACGTCAATATAAATGTAAATATATGTAAATGTAAATATATATTTTAGAAGAATTGGTTATGGGATGGGGGTGACAGGATTGCAAGCAGTCTTGCGAGTATGAGCTGGGAGAAGTGACCAGCTCTGGGGTGAGCTAGTGGGTTGGCAGGATGGTTAATGGAGTCAGTGTGGGTGGTGAAGAGAAGAAATGAAATACGAGTTTCTGGTGGTGCTGTTTCCTGGGATGTGTTCTGGGGTAGGAGTGGGTTTGGCAGGAAGGAAATAGAAACTTCTGTTTTGAATGTGTTGAATTTGAGGGGCCTGTTGTAACCAAGTGGAGATGCTAAGTCGGCAGATAGTTTCTACCACTTGCGTTCGGGGAAGGAGATGTGGCCTGAGATATGATTTGGGGAGTCTTTGATGCATGCATGGTATTCAGAGCCGTGGCATTTGTTGATCTTATCTGAGGAGAGAGCACAGATGGGGAAGGAAGAAACCTGTGACCCAGCCCATGGGGCTTCCCAGTGTATGGGGATTGAGAGAAGAGAAGGGAGTCTTAGAGTAGCTAATGAAGGAGAAAAATCAGGAGAGGGGATGTCCGGGTGCATGGGCTCATGCCTGTAATACCAGCACTTTGGGGGTTGAGGCAGGAGGATTGCTTGAGGCCAGGAGTTCAAGATCAGCCTGGCCAATACAGGGAAAGGCGATCTCTACAAAAATACCAAAACTTAGCCAGGCATGGTGGCATGTGACTGTGGGCCCAGCTATTCAGGAGGACTGCTTGAGCCCAGGAGGCAGAAGTTGTAGTGAGCCATGATTGCACCACTGCACTCCAGCCTAGGGATAGAGCAAGACCCTGTCTCAAAAAAAAAAAAAAAAAAAAAAAATGCTTTTTATGGCCCACTCTGCATTTTGAATAACATCTGTTGAATAATTTGTGCACATTAAAGATATGTTAGAAAATGGGGGAGGAGCCTGGGCAACATAGCAAAACCCCATCTCTACTAAAAATACAAAACTAGATTAGCTAGGTATGGTAGCACATACTTGTAGTCCCAGCTGTTTGAGAAGCTGAGGTGAAAAGCTCACTTGAGCCCAGGAGGTTGCAGAGTAAGCCAAGATGGCACCACTGCACTCCAACCTGGGTGACAATATTTTTCTCCACTGAATAATATTAAAATGAATATTCAGATTTTAATATGAATCACAGCACAATAGTGGGCACTTAAAAATACAGCTGAGCTGGATGCCCTGGCTTGTGCCTATAGTCCTAGCTTAGGAGGCTGAAGCTGGAGGATCTCTTGAGCCCAGGAGTTTAAGGTTCCAGCAAGCTAGGGTCATGTCACTGCACTCCAGCCTGTGCAACAAAGCAAGACCCTGTCTCAAACACCCACAATGCCTTCATAGTTTAAAATAATTATCCTCAATCAGGGACCAGAAGGGGAGAAAAAAGAATTAAATATCTAATTGTTCCCAAATTATAGACATCTGGATTGTATTTGAAACACAAGATAGCCTTAATCTTTTTTTTTTTTTTTTTATGGCAGCACTAACTTTAAAAAATTTTTCCGTTTGCTTGGTAATTCATTGTTGTAAGAAACCAGCAGTATGGAAGAACAGACAGAAGTGAAAGCCTCTGTCTTAGTCCATTCCTGGTGCTATAACAAAATACCTTAGACTGGGTATTTATAAACAGCAGAAACTTTTTCTCACAGGTATTGAGGCTGGGAAGTCCAGGATCAAAGCGCTAACCTTGGTTCAGTCTGGTGAGGGCTTGCTCTCTGCCTCAAAGATGGTGTCCTCTTGCTGCATCCTCACACGGAGCTCCATCCAGCCTCTTTAGAAGGGCACTAATTCCATTCATAAGGGTGGAGTCCTCATGACTTAGTCACCCTCCAAAGGCTTCCCCTCTTGTTTCGAGTACATTTGGGTTAGATTTCAACATATGAATTTAGGGGGATCACCACAGTTCAGATCATAGCAGCCCCTGACATTAAATTTTTATTTAAAATAATATTACAAATATCTGTGTTCATGGTTAAAAAAAAAAAACTTAGCAAAAAACTAAAACAAAGTGGAATTCCCTCCCTGTCAGCCTTCCAGCCCTCTCCTCGGTGTTAGCAATTAAGTGTCTTGAGTGTATACACATAATATTTTGTAGCATAGCCGGGCGCGGTGGCTCACACCTATAATCCCAGCACTTTGGGAGGCCAAGGCGGGTGGATCACGAGGTCAAGAGATCGAGACCATCCTGGTCAACATGGTGAAACCCCGTCTCTACTAAAAATACAAAAATTAGCTGGGCATGATGGCGCGTGCCTGTAGTCCCAGCCACTCAGGAGGCTGAGGCAGGAGAATTGCTTGAACCCAGGAGGCGGAGGTTGCGGTGAGCCAAGATCGCACCATTGCATTCCAGCCTGGGTAACAAGAGTGAAACTCCATCTCAAAAATAAATAAATAAATAATAATAATAATATTTTGTAGCATAAATACGTATCTTGTTACACATAGTATTATCTACTTTGCTTTTTTTTCACCTAGCAATCATTCATTATTTAATAAAGAGCTTTCTGATCATTTTTCTTGACAGCATAGTGTCATATGGATCTACCATAATTTAACAAATCCCCTACTGATAAATGTTTAGAATGTGTATAGTTTTTTGCTACCATTAATAATGCCAGTAATAATCTTTGTATATCATTGTAGACATTTAGTTGCACGGTGTATAATTTTGTATAAATGTATATTTTTTAGTTCTCTTGACATTGTGGTGTAGTTTTCTATTTAGGAATTTTTAATTTTTTATGTTGTTAATCAGTCTTTTTTTGGGGTGGTTCTGGGTTTTAATGTCAAGCAAGGCTAACTTTAATACAATTTTATTTTAGGCTGATACCATGTTAAAGATGGGCTTTCAACAACAAGTACTTGACATTTTGGAAAACATTCCTAATGATTGTCAGACCATTTTGGTTTCAGCCACAATTCCAACTAGCATAGAACAACTAGCAAGCCAGCTTCTGCATAATCCTGTGAGAATTATCACTGGAGAAGAGAACCTGCCTTGTGCCAATGTGCGTCAGATTATTTTGTGGGTAGAAGACCCAGCCAAAAAGAAAAAATTATTTGAAATTTTAAATGTGAGTAGTAAAGCAGTTAACCATGTTTTATGGATTATGTTTGCATTTTTCACAGTTTTTAAGAGAATGATTTTTAGATGCAGCTTTTAGGGGATTTGATATAGGTATTCACTAATAAATTGCTTTACCTACCTTAGAATTCTATGGGAATCAAATAGCTATTTGGGAAAACATGTTGGATAAATACAGGGTTGGGTTTTCTTTTTCTTATGACAGAAATATATTTAAGTGCCAAGATTATTCCTTTTTTTGAGATGGAGTCTCACTCTGTTGCCAGGTTGGAGTTCAGTGGCACAATCTCGGCTCACTGCAACCTCCAACTCCCTGGTTCAAGTGATTCTCCTGCTTCAGCCTCGGAGTAGCTGGGATTAGAGGTGCCCGCCACGGCGCCAGGTCTCAACCTCCCTAGTAGCTGGGATTACAGTCATGCGCCACTATGCCCAGCTAAGTGTTGTATTTTTAGTAGAGACGGAGTTTCACCATATTGGCCAGGCAGGTCTCGATCCCCTGACCTCGTGATCTGCCCGCCTTGGTTTCCCAAAATGCTGGGATTACAGGGGTGAGTCACCATACCCAGCCTCAAGATGATTCCTAAAGAATGTTTTTCTTTTAAAATATTTTAGAAGATTTATATATAAGGTAGGGGCAAGGTATTTCTTGGCTAGTCTGTCCTTGAGAAATTGTTTTAACTATTACTAGTGTAAACAGAAATTTGTTAAGTGGGGGACATGTACAAGCATAGTTACTTATAAACAGTATTAAGTTAAATACTGTTTAATTTAATAAACAATGGGTGGTATTGACTTATTAGCAGCACATATTTCTACGCCTACTTGTAGTAGGAAAAAGAACAAAAAAAAGGAGCATGTAGAACTACATTAATCACACTTAAAATATTTGAATTACTCTTGCAGTATTAAGTGATGGAGAAAAATACGAGGAGCAGTAGACTGGCTTCTGTCTGTGCATATTTTAAATAAAACTTACCTTAACAATATGCCTTTTTTCCTTCTTAACAATATTTATAAACCTATTGATAACTAGCTTGTGGTAATCTTTCAGAGAAACTTCCCATTTTAAATTATGTTATATGAATAATTGTTGATATATGTCTTTAATTTTTCAGGATAAGAAACTCTTCAAGCCTCCAGTGTTAGTATTCGTGGACTGCAAACTAGGAGCAGATTTGTTGAGTGAAGCTGTTCAGAAAATCACAGGGCTGAAAAGCATATCGATACATTCGGAGAAGTCGCAAATAGAAAGGAAAAACATATTGAAGGTTTGGCAGCCAACACTGTATATTCTGTTTTCTATAAATCTGTTCTGCCTCATTTTCAAGAGATACCATATTACAGCTGGTTTTTATAGCAGACCCTTTTTTATTGATTACAAGACTGCCAAACAAGCAGTTACCATGAAGTTCATGTTTCTTGCTCAGGCTTTGTGTTTGGGGAGCAATAGCCTGTTCTCTAGGGAATACATACTAAATAGATTACTAATTCAGAACTTAGCATTTCTGAAATCAGGTCAGTTTGGAGTAGGGTAGGGCAGTAATTCACCTTTGGAAAAGGTTTGCCTGAATAAGTTAATAAAGTAAATTCCGTGGGAATTGGGGAGAATTTTAGATACATGCATTTTTCAGGTATACTATGACCTTTACTTATTGAAAAGATACGGCAACGAAAATATTGAAATGTAAGCATTGAAAAAAGAAAAGCTATCAGAATTACACAAAACCACACAAAATAAATTCTGAATAATAAATTTTGTTGCTTTTTTGGAAAGGGATTACTGGAAGGAGACTTTGAAGTTGTAGTGAGCACAGGAGTCTTGGGACGAGGCCTAGACTTGATCAGTGTCAGGCTGGTTGTCAATTTTGATATGCCTTCAAGTATGGATGAGTATGTCCATCAGGTAAGGAGCTTTATATTTTACTACCATTTTGTTCATGAGTTTTATTGGGTAAGGCATTGTCAATATGATATTAAGTTTGAAAAAGCAGTATTGGAGGCCGGACGTGGTGGCTCATGCCTGTAATCCCAGCACTTTGGGAGGCCGATGTGGGCGGATCACCTGAGGTCAGGAGTTCGAGACCAGCCTGACCAACATGGAAGAACCCTGTCTACTAAAAATAGAAAATTAGCCAGGCGTGGTGATGCATGCCTGTAATCCAAGCTACTCTGGAGGCTGAGACAGGAGAATCGCTTTAACCTGAGAGGCGGCGGTTGCAGTGAGCCAAGATCACACTGAGCTGAGATTACACCATAACACTCCAGCCTGGGCAACAAGAGCAAAACTACCTCTCAAAAAAAGAAAAGTATCGGCCAAGGCAGTGGCTCACACATGTAACCCCAGCACTTTGGGAGGCCAAGGCAGCTGGGTCACTCATAGCAGATGGATCACTTGAGGTCAGGAGTTCCAGACCAGCCTGGCCAACATGTGAAAACCCACCTCTACTAAAAATACAAAACAATTAGCTGGGCGTGGTGGCGGGAGCCTGTAATCTCAGCTGCTCAGGAGGCTGAGGCAAGAGAATAATGGCTTGAACCCAGGAGGCAGAGGTTGCAGTGAGCCGAGATCACTTCTAGCCTGGGTGACAGAAAGAGACTTCATCCCCCCCTCCCCCACCCAAAAAAAGCAGTGTATAAAACTGTGTATATTTTTGCTTTTAAGATTTTTTTTTCTTCTGTCATCCAAGCTGGAGTGCAGTGGTATGATCTCGGCTTACTGCAACCTATGCCTCTCAGGTTCAAGGGATCCTTGTGCCTCAGCCTCCCAAGTAACTAGGATTAGGTGTGGTGCCCACCACCACACCTGGCTAATTCCATGTTGGCCAGGCTAGGCTCAAACTCCTGACCTCAAGTGATCCTTCTGCATGGACTTCCCAAAGTGCTGGAATTACAGGCAGGAGCCACCATGCCTGGCCTGCTTTTAAGATATATACGTATTAAACTAAATTTTGTTTATAAAAGGTATATGTGTATAAAAACAAAATTTTGGGCCGGGTACCATGGCTTATGCCTGTAATCCCAGCACTTTGAGAGGCTGAGGCGGGCGGATCACAAGGTCAGGAGTTCGAGACCAGCCTGGCCAACATGGTGAAACCTCATCTCTACCAAAAAATACCAAAAATTAGCTGGGCGTGGTGGCACACACCTGTAATCCCAGCTATTCGGGAGTCTGAGGTAGGAGAATCACTTGAACTCAGGAGGTGGAGGTTGCAGTGAGCAGAGATCGTGCCATTACACTCCAGCCTGGGTGACAGAGCAAGACTCCATCTCAAAAATAAAGAGAAATCTAAATTTTGTTTTTAAAAGTATGCCTAGAGTTCATAAAAAAAAAAAAGAAGAAGAAGAAAACCTAGAAGTAAGTAACCAAAAGTGTTAGTTAAAAAAATTTTAAGTAGTAAATTTTTGGTTTATTTTTCATATTTTCTTATTTTCTTCAGTGAGGATATAATCAGTGAGCTTTTCTAATCATAAAAAAAGTTTTGTTTAAAAAGATCATTTTACGTTGATATATCTGGCCAAAATAAAAATTGATCCTTTAAAGTATTTTTTTAAGGAATCTTGTCTTCATCTCCTCTTCATATCCTTATTTGTTCTAGTCTTTCACTTTTGAAAGTGTCCTTTCTTTTCTTTGCTGCCAAAGGTAACAATAGCTTCTCTTTCTGGCAGAAATAGAGCCTTCTCTCAGCGCCACATTATCTCACTGACTGCTACGTGTCCTCCTTCTCGAGCATCGCTTGCAAGCTCTTCAAAGTAAAGCCCATCTGTAGTGTTCTCACCATCACCTCTGAATGCCACATTTACTAGAATCACCCACTGAAACGATGTTAATGCCTTTGGTGCATTGTCATCTTTATTTTTACTTAATAATACAGCACTACTTCCCTTTATTTATTTTGGTACCACCACATTGACCTGCACATCAGGGAATTAAGTATTCCAGGGGGCTTGATTGTTTTACTTAGCATGATGTCTTTAAGGTTCATTCATATTACAGTATGTGTCGGCACTTCATTTTTTCAAATTGCCAACTAATATTTCATTGTATAGTTATACCACCTTTGCTTATCTATTCATCAGTTGCAAGACATTTCGGTTGTTTCTACATTTTGGCTGCTATGAACATTCATGTGCAAGTTTTTGTGTGGACATGTTTTCTTTTTGTTGTTGTTTTTGAGACAGAGTCTCACTGTTGCTCAGGCTGGAGTCCAGTGGTGCGATCTCAGTTCACTGCAATCTCCATTTCCCTGGTTTAAGCAATTCCCCTGCCTCAGCCTCCCAGGTAGTTGGAATTACAGGAGAACGCTACCATGCCTGGCTGATTTTCTTTTTTTGAGATGGAGTCTCACTCTGTCACCCAGGCTGAAAGTGTAGTGGTGCGATCTCAGCTCATTGCAACCTCCACCTCCCAGATTCAAGCAATTGTCTTGCCTCAGCCTCCTAAGTAACTGGGATTACAGGTGTGTACCACCACGCCCAGCTAATTTTTATATTTTCAGTAGAAACTGGGTTTCACCATGTTGGCCAGACTGGTCTTGAACTCCTGACTGCAGGCAATCTGCCCACCTCAGCCTCCCAAAGTGCTGGGGTTACAGGCTGGAGCCACCACACCTGGCCAGTACTACTTTAAATAGTAGCCTATTCTCTAGGGAATATATACTAAATTCATTTTCTTTCAAAAGACACTAAGATTTTTTCAGGAACATCTTGAAAATGTTCTTTGCATTTCATTTCAGGTTGGAAGAGTAGGAAGATTAGGTCAAAATGGAACAGCGATTACTTTCATCAATAATAATTCAAAAAGACTCTTCTGGGACATTGCAAAACGAGTAAAGCCCACAGGATCTATTCTTCCCCCCCAGTTATTAAATTCGCCATACCTTCATGACCAGAAGAGAAAGGAACAACAGAGAGACAAACAGACACAAAATGATCTGGTTACAGGAGCTAATCTTATGGATATTATCAGAAAACATGATAAAAGTAATTCTCAAAAATGATTTTCTCTGCCACTTGAATTTTTTTATTGTGTACAGTCAGCGAAATTTCTGTAAATTGTTACTGTATGTAACACAAACTGTATGTTTGTGTAAATGGAAATGTATATGAAGTAAGAAATATTTAAGATTTTTTAAATTTAATAAAATTTATATAACTATATTATATTTATTTCCCTTCTTAATTCTTATAAATTAAAAACAACAGAAAATGAATCACTAAATAAAATATAATTTTTTTTCTCTTCTGGATGAAGTTTTTTTTTTTTTTTTTTTTAAATAAATAGTCCTCAGAGCCACTGTCGGAACCAGAAACCTCGGCAGAGACTCTGCCTTGGATCAGTGATCCTTTTGCTTAGTACCCACACAGTGCCACAGGCACATTGGCCCTTGAATTACTGTTGAATAAATGAGAATCAGGAAAAAAGTAAATGATAGAAACTGGAAGAAATTTTCAGAACCACTTTTGAAAGATAAATATAAAATGTCTACTTTCTCAGTTCTGTTTTCAGCTTGGTTAATGCTTTGTAAAAAATATTTAAGATGGGCTGCTTATCAAAATAATGTCGTCGTGGTATTGAATGAACGTTGACCTGCTAATTCAATTAGTAGTTTTAAGTGAAGATGAGTGCTTCCTTCCAGTGCTTGACTTTGATACATCTACACTTTCCTTATTTAAAAACGTTAGCCTCAAATTAGTTGGGAAGCTTAGAGAGTATGTTATACAAATGTAGACACTTAAACAAGCTTTATAGACTCAGCATCCTCTCCAGGTATGGGCAAGATTTTGCCAACTAAGGAGTCCTTGTATAAATAGTTTTTGTTTGTTTGTTTGTTTTGTCTTTTGAGATGGAGTCTCACCTGTCACCAGGCTGGAGTGCAGTGTCCGGATCTTGGTTCACTGCAATCTCCGCCTTGCAGGTTCAAGTGCTTCTCCTGCCTCAGCCTCCCAAGTACTGGGACTAACAGGCACCACCATGCCCAGCTAATTTTTGTATTTTTAGTAGAGTTGGGTTTTCACCATGTTGGCCAGGTTGGTCTTGTATAGGTAGTTTCTAAGTGTTGTCTCCACCCAAAGGAAAAAAGTCAGAAGTTCCACAAAGTGTATAAACCCCCAGGATTCTGGCTCTCTCTCTGCTTCTATGTGCTGTTGAGTGGTATGTTTGATTTCAAGGGAACAAGGATAAGGCAACTAATAAGGTCCCAGGGTGCATTAGCAAAAGTGCATTGGGAGGCTGAAAGAAGCATTAGCACAAGGCTTAGTGTATGTACTAAATGCCTTAAAAGTGTTTATAATAATTACTAGCAAAAAGGGCAGTTTTTCACTAGACTCAAACTTGTATATAAATAAAAGTGGTATAGTCAGAAAAACAGCATTTACTGGATATATGGTTTTGGGTTTTTTTGAGACAGCATCTCGCCCTGTCACCCCATACTGGAATGTAGTGGTGTGATCGTAGCTCACTGCAGCCTTAACTTCCTAGGCTCCAGCAATCCTCCAGCCTCAGCCTCCCAAGTAGCTAGGACCACAGGCATGCACCACCACACCCAACTAAGTTTCTTTTTATTTTTTAAGAGACAAGGTCTCACTATGTAGCTCAGGCTGGTCTCAAACTCCCAGCCTCAAATGATCCTCCTGCCTCTGCCTGCCAGAGTTCCGGAAAGGAGACTATATTTAAACAAAAATAGTATTATTTGAGAGACTGTAGTAATGCGAAAAAAATATTAGCCATAATATAACCTCACTGGTTTGCTTAATTTGCTGGCAGTCTGGCTTCTGTTCCCTCCACTGTACACACGTATCTTCCAGTGGTCTCTGTTGACTGTCTTAAACCATGTGTTCTGCCAGCTCTCACTTTAAACTCTTTTATTGCGTTGGTCACCGTGGACTACCCTTCTCGAAACCTTCTCTTTCTTAAGGCCAGGTGATGAGATAGAGATGGAGGACAGAGCCTCTAATTCACAGGCTCATTATGAGAATTAAGCGCAGTTGCGTATGTCCAATACCCCATAGAGTAGAAGCCGGCTATCAGCGCCCTTCCCTTACTTCCATCTTGCTACACAAGCTTCGGGCTCCTCTTACTGGTTCTTCCTGCCTAGTCTTGACTTCTGCTTCTCGTTCCTTAAGATCTTTCCTTCGGCAACTTCTTCCTTGTCTCACCCGTCTGCTCTTCTGTTGTCTGACATGCAGCAATGCCATGGTTTCCTCAATTATGTATTTTACAGACAAGAGCATTAAACTTCTTTAAAACAATGGTCCCAGTGTTGCTGGTATTTTTTCCCAATTAAAGATGTTATTTTTTTATTTTTATTTGTTTAATTTTTTAATTTTTTATATTTTTATTTTTTAATTTTAATTTTTTTAATTTTTTTTTTTTTTTAGAGAGACAGGGTTTCACCATGTTGGCCAGGATGGTCTTGATCTCCTGACCTCGTTATCCACCCGCCTTGGCCTCCCAAAATGCTGGGATTACAGGCGTGAGCTGCCGCGCCGGCCTAAAGTTGTTATTTTTTAAAAGCTACCACCTATCATTAGTTCATGAAAGAAAAAATGTGTACTAAAGAAGGACCTACTCTCTGAATAAGAAACCATTCTTTCCAAGAAAGGACACTAAGGTACTAAATTATAAAATTTTAAATAATAGATTTTTGTGAGAATTAGCATACAGTTTAGATTTTTAATTAGCTGAAAAAACTAACCACATACACTCCCAAACATTTGTTTTATGGTAACTGTATTATAAAAATAACTGAATTGGTTGCTTTATTGCCAGATTGAAGCAAACATCTTTTATATATCAAACACCTTAAGCAGTGACTTTTGTTTTTTATTTTTTGAGATGGAGTTTTGCTCTTGTTGCCTAGGCTGGAGTGCAATGGTGCAATCTCAGCTCACTGCAACCTCCACCTCCTGGATTCAAGTGATTCTCCCGCCTCAGCCTCCTGAGTAGCTGGGATTACAGGCATGCGCCACCACACCTGGCTAATTTTGTATTTTTAGTAGAGACGAGGTTTCACCATGTTGGTCAGGCTGGTCTCGAACACTAGATCTCAGGTGATCTACCCACCTCACCCTCCCAAAGTGCTGGGATTATAGGCATGAGCCCCCGCACCCAACCCCAAGCACATTTTTAAAATCACCTTTTTTTTTCAACAAGTCAAAGTGGTTTGTTTTTTTTCTTTTTGGTTTCATAACATCTTTACAAAGAACATTGCCACATATTTAAACTATGACTCACTGATTAATAAATCTAAGCTAGATCCATGACCTGTCATATTTTCTGGTAAAACTACACTATTTTCTTCTGGCAGCTGAATATTATTTGGGTTGTACCCTTCTCTGGAATTAATATCAGCACACCTCTTATTGTCTTGTTATATATTCTACTCACCACAATCAATATGAAGTTTACTCCATAAACAGGTATGATACAGAAGGTAATGTGTCATCCAAGGTGACTTTCCTGGCAGCCACCAGTAAACTGACTCCAGACAGATAGGACTCTTTTGTTGTCGCCAAGGCATACTTACAATGACCTCAGAGGCTCTAGGGCCACATTGTGAAAACCAGCCGATGGATAATTAAGTAAGCACAGTTCTCTTGTTCTACTGCTAGTGTGAGAACCTATTTTATATTTTATAAAGTGTTGCATGTGTGATGACACATGACAAAGTTACAAATAAAGCATAAGGCGAGTGTTTATTTTTGTAATGTTTACAAATAAGAACTTTTGCAAATAAATTTTAGCTTTGAAAAATTTGCACATTAACTTTCCTTTCCTCACTTCATTGCAGAAAGAGACCACTTGGCAAAGCTGTTTGCAAATAACTGGGTTCTGGTTCCAGCTCTATGGGTTTTGTTTTTTTAATTAGGGCAAATTAATTACTTCTCTAATCTTTAGCTTTGCTCAACTGTAAAATGAGAAACTTTGCTTTAAGGTTCTCTGAGGTCTTTCCCAAATCTATATTTTCTGTGCTTCATACTTTTAAACCCCTATCTCCATGTCTAGAATTTGCTTCAGAATAATACAGAGTGAGGACTATGGATGAAACAAGATTGGCCAAGAGTTTATCACATTGAAGTCAGGTGATGGACCATGGAAGTTCATTACTGTTTGATTTGCACTTGATGTATTTGAAATATTACATGATAAAAACATATATATACATAAAATCTCCAATCCCATCATCTTGCTGGTACCCTAGCTACTATCTTTCTATTATCTGTCTATCTATCATCTATCTAGCTAGCTAGCTAGCTAGCTAAGGTTGAAGATATAAATCTTCAATTTTTCACCTAACTTTCTGGCTCAAAATGAGCATTTCCAAAGCCAGATTTATCATCTTCCTTACAGAAAGCCTGATTCCTCCTTTCTGACTTCCCTATGCCTGTGGTGCTACCACGCCCTCAGTCCTGCCCAGTCAATGTCGTGCTGTCATCACTGACTCATTTCTCCTCCTAATCCCCATATCTGCTGAGTCACGAAGTCCTGTTTGTATTCTTTCAAAATGTCCACATTTTCACGCTGGCACTGAAGCCCAGGACTTCATCACCTCGAAATATGAACCTTTTCCACACATTATTCCTCTAATCCACAGGAAGAGAATATTTTCCAAGTAGAATATTACTACACTAAGTCCTCACTTCATGTCATTGATAACTTCTTGGTAACTGTGACTTTAAGTGAAACAACATATAGCAAAACAATTCTACCACAGGTAAATTGATATAGACAGGGGTGAGGTTCCTATGGCATATTCCTGCTCACAAAAACATCACAAACTTCTAAATAAAGACCAAAACCCTTCTGATATTAAACATTAAAATAAATATGAGCTATACATACATTTAAGGAAGAGTGATACTAAACAAGTAACATAATTATTTGTGGGATGATTCAACGTGGCAGGTTGTCACAGCTCATCCTAGCAGCTCAGGGTCCAGGTGGGAACCCACCCTGGACAGGCCACCATCCCTTCAGAGGGAGCACTCACACCCACACTCCACTCCCATGCAGGGAGCACCCACTCACCCACACTGCACTCACATGCAGCAAGCACTTACCCACACTCCACTCCCATGAAGGGAGCACCCAATCACCCACACTCCACTCCCATGCAAGGAGCACCCACTCACCCACACTGCACTCACATGCAGCAAGCACT